TGTTATATGATGTTTCTAATGATTGTTTTGTGATTTTATTGTTGGAAACTGGCCCGAGTCCACCGATTGAGGAGAGAAGACTGGTATACAAAATTGCTAAATAATAATAATAACAAATAATAATTTAGCCTTCTCTGCCACAGAGTTCTAGGGCCTCACCAAACTACAACTCCCAGGATTCCATAGCATTGAACCTTGGGCCCTTCCACACAGCCCTATATCGCAGAATGTCAAGGCAGATAATCCCACAATATCTGCTTTGAATTGGGTTATCGGAGTCCGCACTCTGATAATGTGGGATTTTCTGCCTTTATATTCTATAATATAGGGCTGTGTGGAAGGGCCCCTTGACCATTAAAGGTTGTCTCAAGTTGAATTAATTAATTAATTCTAGTTACGTGTTTAAAACATAAACAACAACTCACCGTGGAACTTGAGCTCCTCGGAAGCAGCCATGCCGGAGCCGGATTATCCTGAAAAGGGAAAGGGGTGGAGCTGGTTTTGACAGGAGTCTGAAGGGGTTCGTGGCCTAAGCGAGGGCTTCCCACCCTTTGGGCCCAAGGGCTTTGGACTCCAGCTCCCAGAATTCCTGAGAGTAGGCCGGGGCTTCTGGGAGTCAAAGTCCAAAGCGCTTGGCAGGCCCAGAAGGTTGGGAAGCGTTGGCCTCAAAGCGCCCACACCGCAAAGGAACTGAGGGGCCGGCTTGCCTTGCCCCGACCCCCTTTTATCCCGCCTCACAGCCTCTTAGTTCCATTAACCGAGGAAGGCCTAATGGTGGCTGCCACGGAAGCCCCGGAAGTGCCCTTCTTATTCTTCCTCCTCCTCCTCACAGTGGCCGGCCTTTCCTTCGGCCATAGACTTAGAACGTATAGAAAAACAGTTCCAGTCAAACATTTCAAGCCGAAATTACATGAAATAATGCTTCAAAGTCCTGCAGCAGCCATTCCCTTTCCAGTTCTGTGGGACTTGCCTCGAGTTTCGTCAAACAGGCCTCAGGCGGCACCACAGGCCCAAAAGGCGCCCAAGAGGGAAGGTGTATGTCTTTGCGCATGCGCACGCATCACTCTTCACATGGCTATCTCTACACGCGCGTGGCGCCCCCAACGGCCTCACCTAAGGGGCGGGGCCAAGGTCGGCGCGTCGCGCTTTGCCGTCCGGCTGGAAACGCTTCCTCAGCCCTTTCTTTCCCCAGCGACCATGACGGATCCCTCCAACGCGGCGCCGGCGGGGGAGAAGCGGCCCTTGGGACAACGGCTGCGGAACGGCCGCGTGGGTGAGCAACAGGCGGTCATGTTTACATTTCTTACATAATATTTTTACATTAAAAAGTTTACATAATATTACTAACTAGCCGTCCCCTGCCACGCGTTGCTGTGGCCCAGCTGTGTATATGTTTTGTGTGTGTATACATGTGTTTATGTGTGTGTATATAGAATCAAAGAGTTGGAAGAGTGTTTCAAAAACCATCCAAGTAGGGCTGCACTTCTCAAAGTCTGGGACAAATACAAAGACAGATTCTATAGAAGAACTCCCTTATGGTTTTCACCGAACGAAGCCCAACACATGAGAGACCTGCCGAGAAAAAAATGGCTTACCTACGCCCAACTTCTGAAAAAAGACCCTCGCGAAATTAAACTAAAATCCCAGGAAGAACTCAAACAACTTGACGAATCTATCTCCTGGTTCCAATACCAGCAAATATTAGAGAACTATAGAATCGACGTCAAAAGTGGATTCCAGATTCAAGAAACCTTCTGGGACAAAATACTCAAAACCGAGACCAAGCTAATCAAAAGAACTTATCAGCAACTCTTAACATGGGCAACGGAAATAGACCAGGTCAAACACAACATGATTCAATGGTCTAGAGATATAGGTAGACCAATAAATATGACAGAGTGGGAGGAGGTCTGGCGCCAAAAAATCAAATACACATATTCAACTGAGATGAAAGAAAACTGGTATAAACAATTTTACAGATGGTACTATACACCGGACAGGATATCCAAATTTAGTAAGGGGAAAATCAAAAATACATGTTGGAAATGTGGAAGACATAAAGGAAGCTACATCCACACATGGTGGAAGTGTAGGAGAATAAAAAACTTCTGGCAAAAAGTTAACAAAACCATACAGATAATACTAGGAGAGAAAATAAAACTTAAACCGGAAGCAATGTTGCTGGGAATTACAGACCCCCTCCAAAACAAAAACTCCGACAAACTGTTCTTTTATTTCACCACGGCAGCTAGAACAGTTATTGCTAGGGTTTGGAAATCTAAAGAAATCCCCTCGATAGACCATTGGTTGTTAAAAGTATGGGATATAATGAACATGGA